CTAGGCATCCTCATAGGACTGACGTCAGACTTACTGGTCTGTAATTTTCGGCCTTTTACTTTGACCCAGATTTATGCAGAGCAACTACCGTCGCTCCTTTTCAATCTCCCGGTATCTCGCTTTCATCTAGAGATGCGTGAACCAGCTTTGNCAACAATAGCGGGATGGATGCCATCCGGTCCCGCTCCTTTGAACTTATTCAGGGTAGCTAACTCGTGAAGGACTTCGTCTGGTGTCACAGTTATTTCAGTCAGCTGTGATGTCGCACTGGGATAATCTTCCATAAGCAACGGTGCTGCCTGTCTGTACATCCCCTTAGAGAAAGCCAGCAGGGTATTTGCCTTGTCTTCTTTGTTTAGGGAAAGAAATCCATCAGTGCTGTCTAACGTTCCAATCCCCTCTCTGGATGCCTCTTGAGATTGTACGTAAGCATAGAACTTATTTGGGTTCTGTTTTGCTTTTATCGCAATCCCATGCTCAAAGACGTACTTGGTCCTTCGCTGGATAGCCTGGGCATGGTTTCTTGCAGCCTTGTAGCTAGACCATACCTGATACGAAATGAGTCGTTTTTAAAGCGCCCACTTTCGACTCCTTGTGGCCAGAGTTCTGTCTAAACATGGTTTCTACCATGGAGGCCCGTTGATTGAGTCTCCTAGGCCTCAGGGGTGAAAACTCTTCGGTGAGTCTCAGCAAACTATCTTTAACTGCAACCCATCTCTCTTCGATAGTAGGATCAGCTGTTGACGGTTCTCAGCTTAAACCTAACGCTGCCTCTCGAAGACTCTCTTGTTGAACATTCCCATACAAGCGAACCATTTTGATCCCAGGCTTAGTGTACTGTGCTAGTACCTTTGGCTGAAGGACTGCATGGTCGCTTCTGCCTAGGGGGACTTCTACCCTGAGACTAACGACATCTGACCTTGCTCGAGAAATGGCTAAGTCAAGGATTGAGGACCTCTGGCTGAAACGGAAACGAGTGGGTTCCCTTATATGCTGAACCAGCGCATGCGATGATTGCGGAGACAACCTAACGTCC